CCTTATCTCATCTTCCGGCTCCCAAGTCCACTCCGAATCCTTATTATGCTGCCATTGCATCTTCACCAACTCCACAAGCTTGTTCCTCAAGGTTTTTTTTTCTTCCGATCAAGAATCAGCACCAGTCTCTCGATATAATTCAGGCGGTCATCCACCTGAATATCCTCCAACGGTACCACTACAGAATCATCCACTAAGCACTTCCGCAGCTGAGAGACATGGAACATGCAATGAATCTGACTGAGATCATCTGGAAGATCCAAGAAATATGCAACTTGGCCCACCCGAGCCAAAACCCTGAAAGGACCAATATATCTGGGGCCCAGCTTGCCCCTCTTCCTAAATCGGATGACACCTTTCCAAGGTGACACCTTGAGGAGAACCATATCCCCCACCTGGAACTCTAAGTCTGATCGGCGCCTGTCCGCATAACACTTCTTCCGACTCTGAGCTTTCTGGAGCCTACTCCGAACCCGCTGAATCAGCTCAGTGGTCTTGAGTACCACCTCGGTACTCCCCATAACCCATTAACCGACCTCGCCCCAATAAATCGGGGTCCTACATTTCCTCCCATAGAGCATCTTGAAAGGAGGTCGATCAATGCTGGGGTGATAACTTTTGTTATACGAAAATTCTCCAAACGAAATATACGTATCCTAACTCCCACCAAAGTCCAAAACACACCCGAAGCATATTCTCTAATGTTTGAATCATCAGCTCGCTCTGACCATCGGTCTGCGGATGGAATGTTCTGCTGAAATGGAGACGAGTGCCCAACTCTTCATGGAACCTCCTCCAAAACCAGGAAGTAAACTGGTCATCTCTGTCAGAAATCACCGAAACCGGCACCTAATGATCTGCCACAACCTCCCTGATATAAATCTCAGCTAATTTCTTTGCAGAAATACTCTCCTAAATCGGAATGAAATGCGCGCTCTTGGTCAACCGATCCATGATGACCCAAATAGAATCTACTTTGCGTGCAGTCCAGGGTAACTTCGTGATGAAATCCATGGTAATATCCTCCCACTTCCATATAGGAATCTCCAACGGCTGCATCTTACCGTAAGGTCGCTAATGCTCGGCCTTGACTTTCCTGCAAGTCAAGCACCGCTCCACATACCAAGCCACATCCCGCTTCATGCATGGCCACCAATAATTAGGACAAAGATCCCTATACATCTTCGTCGCCCCGGGATGAATGAAGAACCTAGACTTGTGTGCCTCCTCCATCAGAACCAGATGCACACCGCCCCAATACGGAACTTAAATCCGCCGATGCAGAGTCAACAACCCACGACTATCATAATCGAAGGAAGCCACCTGACCCATACTACGCTCACTCTTCCAGTGCTCTTCCTTCATACCCTCGACCGGAGCCTCACGAATCCGCTCCAACAGTGGAGTAATCATGGTCATCCTCAAACATGTCTCTGATCGGAGCTGCGACCTCCTTACGGTTGAGAGCATCGGCGACCAAAATGGCCTTCCCTGGGTGATAAAGGATCTCACAATCACAATCCTTCACCACATACAACCACCTGTGCTGCCTCATATTCAGATTCGACTGATCCATTAGATACTTCAGGCTCTTATGATCCGTGTAAATGGTATAAAGGACCCCATAGAGGTAATGCCGCCAAATGTTGAGGGCGAAAACCACACCCCCAGCTCCAAGTCATGCTTCGGATAATTCACCTCATGAGGCGTCAGCTGCCTCAAAGCGTAAGCGATCACGCGACCCCTTTACATCAATACTGCTCCCAAACTTGTGATCGACGCATCAAAATAAACCACATAATCCTCAACACCCTCCGGTAGGGTCAGAATCGGTGCCTCGCACAACCGCTGTCTCATGTTCTTAAAAGTTGCCAGCTGCTCAGGCAGAGTCTTCTTTGTCAACCGAGTCAAATAAACAACTATCTTGGAGAAATCATGGATAAATCTCCGATGGTAACCAACAAAACCAAGGAAACTCCAAATCTCAGATGGAGACCTCGGAACCTCCCACTGCATCACGGTCTCGACCTTGGCCGAATCAACGAAAACACCATTCTGGTTGACAAGGCGCCTTAAAAACTGCACCTTGCGCAACCAGAACTCACACTTGGAGAACTTCTCGGAAAATATCTCCCTCCTCAAAGTCTCCAATACTTCCCTTAAGTACTCCTGGTGTTGCTCCTAAGTCTTGGAATAGACGAAGATGTGATCAATAAACACAATCATAGATCGATCCAACATCGGCCTACACACGCGGTTCATGACATCCATGAACGCAGTTGGAGCATTAGTGAGCCCAAAAAGCATCACCATGAACTCGTAATGACCATAACAAGTCCGAAAAGCTTTCTTCTGCATATCCTCCTCTCTAACCCTCATGTAATGATAACCTGATCGCAAATGAATCTTGGAAAACCAAGATGCACCCTGAAGCTGGTAAAAAAAGATCATCGATCCTCGGGAGTGGATATCGGTTCTTCATCGTTACCTTATTCAGCTCCCGGTAGTCAATGCACATCCAATGAGACCCAACCTTCTTCTTCAGAAAAAAGATTGGTGCTTCCATTGCGAACTGCTCGGTCGAATGAATCCCTTGTCTAATAGCTCCTGCAACTGTGTAGACAAATTCTGCATCTTGGGAGGAGCCAACTGATATGATGATTTGGCTATCGGAGCCGCACCTGGAACCAGATCAATCCTGAACTCAACCTACCTCTCCGGAGGCACCCCAGGCAAATCCTTTGGAAACTCATCGGGATAATCCCGTATAACCGACACATCATCCACTGTCGCCTTACCCTTATCCTGGGTTCCATAAGATAGGCGAGAAATCCTGAACAACCCTGCTGAATATAGCGCCTGGCCCTCGTTGCTGAACAGAATAACGCCCCACTCACTCTCTCTCTCTCTCTCTCTCTCTCTCTCTCTCTCTCTCCCTGAACCACTAACTCTCCCGCACTTGGGGTTCGAAGTTGGACTAACTGCTGCTCACAATCGATCACCACCCCATTGGGGCTCATCCAATCCATACCCATAATAACCTTGTTCCCACGCAAAGGAATGAGAACCAGATCTATCGAATACTCCTCACTGAAAAAATGAAGAGTACAACCCCAATGAACTCTCATAACCCGAACAGATCTATCATCTGCAATCTCGACATCTAATGGACAATCCCACTCCCCCGGGGCTCCAGCAAACCTCTTTCTTAGCGTAAGTGATACAAAGAATCGGGTATCCCCCGAATCAAACAACACCAAAGCAGAAATGCCATTCACGAGGAACAATCCTAAAATAAAACACATAAATATAAGCAGATGTTGTGACAAGTCTCCTGATTAACTCCATCTCTTTGAAGAATGGAATAGAGGGCCTGAGAATCACAACAAAGGAAACAAGCTTGTCAGTCTTCGTCCAGGAGACAGTCCCGGAACGAAGCTCCGATGACCAACTCAGTTCGTCTCTTAGAGAGAAGGTGAAAATATAAGGAAAGGGTCCGGAGATTTTTCTTACGGTCCCTTCTCTTGGAGGAGAAGGGGACTTTTTATACCTGTGATCAGGGGGAACAAATCCCCGACAAAATCTTTTACCTTTTCAGGAGTGACTGGGGAAGACGACCTTTGATTGGTAGATCGTGCTCTGCGTGGTACACCTATCGCTCTGAGGGGCGGCTAGTAGTATTTTGTCTCGACACTGGCTGTGACACTTGGGCGTCAAGGAATGAATGTGGGATCGCGAGATCGAAGGCCCGGCGTTAGGCGTACGCCGGACTTTGCCCAAACCGTCTGATGGTTCTGTTATTTTTGACGTATTCTTAGTGGGATACCTTAACAAGTCCCCTAGGCTAGTAGACGTCTACGTTTGCTTAGGGTAGCTGAGTAGTTCTAGCTTAGATATGGGTACACGTTTGGTGGGAACAGACGATAACGTGTAATAGACCCGTTCTGGCGAGACAACGTCGTTTCGTTCCTTTTTTTTCTTCTTCTCTTTCTTCCTTTTTCTTTTTATTTAAGGGTTCTCTATCTTTAAGAACGGTTATACACTTCATCTTTCCATAATCCGCCGTCACATCCTCTATTATCATTTCTTCTTTCTCCCATATTTTTTCTCTCCGATTCTTGATGGCCTCAATTAGATCTGGAGTTGCTCCTACACCCGAGGAGTTTGAGTCCCTTCAATTCCGATTTCCGTTCATGGCTGAGCATGGAGTTAAATTCCCGTCGGAAGGGTCTACAATTTATCAACCACCAGTGGGGAAAGTGGGTATTCCGATAGCGATCTTCGAGGCTGGGTTCCGGCTTCCTGTTTCTAATTTCTTTGACGAGGTTATGCAAGAATGCAATTTCTCTGTTCACGAATTGACCCCGAACATTGTGAACAAGATAGTTGGGTTTGATTTAGGGTGTCGAGCGATGGGGGTGCTTCCCCATCTTCAAGCATTCCAGTATTTCTTCAATTCGGGGCGTTCACACTTTCTCTCAACGCCATAACATGCATTCCCTTATAGTTAACCAGAAAGCGCCTCGGAAGAACTGGTAGGATCGGTGGTTGTTGGTAAACAATGATTTGTTTGGGGCCGACTATGCTCGCGTGCCCATGGCTTCAAATCGGGCACCCCAACTATCGGGGGTCGATATTTTGGTGGCTTGCACGTTAAAAGGGATTTGTTTTAACGACGAAGACCCGTCAGACAGTGTATTGGCAGCAGCCAGAATGAGTGCTGCTTGGAGGTCACGTGGAAAGATGCCTCAGTTTTTTGTGGACAATGATGGTAAGTGCTACCTTCTCCTCCCCCCCATTTTTTCTTTCTTTATTTTATATCGAGTTTCTTTTGTTGAAAATAAGGGGGTTTTGCGTTGTTGTCGTTGCGGGTAGCGAGAGGTTTTTGTGTCTTGAGCAAGTGTTACGAGGGGATTTTGAAGGGGTTCTTCATCATCATGAAGTCCCTCAAGTGGATACACTACCGGCTCCAGCCAAATTTGGCCCTATTTTTTAGGGCGATGTCCCTCCTGTCGAGGCGGGGGTCAGAGGATCATGTGTGGCTAGTAGTAAATTCGTCTTCCGATGTCAGTCAGTTACTGCATGTTACTCCCTTAAGGAGGATGTTAGTGGCAGTTCCATTGGTCGGCGTTTGCGTTAGAAACACAACATTGATCCTCTATTTGCTAAGTCACATGTTGTTATTGAGATTGTCGATAACGACGACCCGCAAGCGATGGAGATGGGGGGGTTTGCGTTGGCCGGGGGAACCAGGCGTTGTGGGCACTTACTCCGTCCCACCCTCTGTTCCTAGTGGTGCCTTGTCGGTGGCGGGTCCTTCGTATTTGTGTGCTGCTGGTATGTATCACCCTGGGTGGGATCTCACGCATGGTTCCCTTTTTTCGGGACAGGGGCCCGCCTGGGAGTGGTGCTGACATGCGTTTCCTTCGGCTACCCTGGAGGCTCTCGATGCTCTTTCTTATTCTCACATGGAGAACGATCTTTAGTATGCCGCTGCTCAGGTTTCTATCTACTTGGCGGCGGCTGATGGTCATCTTGGTTACATAGGGGATGATTTAGTGGAGTTGGCTGCTGTTAAATCTGAGCGTGATGAGCTCGCGGAGAAGGTTTGGCTTTTCGAAGAGGAGTGACACAAGTTTGATGAGCACTACCTCGTGCTGTCTGGGGAGAAGACTGTTATGGAAGCTTAGGTGGTGACTCTGTATGGGGAGGTTAATCTCTTATCTCATTAGGTCCAATATTTGGTATCGGATAAAAAAGCATTGGCAGAGCGTTTGACACTAAGAAACGATCAGTTCACCGCTGAGGTCTCGAGGAGGAAAATCTTGGAGACTGATTTAGCGTGGGTTGTCCAGAAGGGAGTGTTTCTTGTGGTGGACCGTGTTGTTGAGAGTAGTGAGTTCACGCTTGGGATTCATCGCGTGAAGCCGTATGTGTGGCTGCTGGTATAGAGAAGGGAAAGCAGATGGCACGAGCGTGGTCGGCTGGCAATAGCCCTAGCTCGTCTGATTCGGACGTTGCGGCACAATCCATTGATGCAATGCATGTTGCCATTAAGGCTTTTTCCGAGACGGACTTCACATCCTATCTCCTTTTGGGTAAGCTCGGCCTTGCTGATCTTCGCCAACTATGTTCTGAAGACGAAAAACATGTGTCGGACGGTGGCGCTGGAGGCGCCACCTCGACTCAACCTCGCCACAGTTAATATTTGTTGTGCGTTTTTGTATGTTTGTTGTTTATTTATCATTTTTATGTACTTTGTGGAATGTTGTTGCATTCGATATTGTGGGGTATTCATCATTAATGTTTTCCCGTTCTTGCGAGCTTCTCTTTTTTTTTATGTTTAGTGAGGGGTATCCCCGAAGAGTATTTTGTAGGCCTTTCTTTTGGTCCTTAACTGAGTGACCAATTGCCTCTCTTTTGTGGTCGCTTAAGGTGAGTTGACATCGTCACCTCGAGACTCTCTGGACTCGTGTGTGTTAAATTGTATGGGGAAGGTTATGATCCTTCAAACTCTTTGGGTACGTTTGGTTTGAAATCCCAGAGGCTTTATTGCTTGTTTAAACCGACATGTACGTAGGGGGATCATCTCTTACTGAGATTTGTGGTTTCATGTTGGCGGTTTGTTTTGCCCAAACAATGTGGGTGATCACCCGTATTGTCGTTTGGCAAATCTGTGCATCCCCCCCCCCCCCCCCCCCGTTTGTTCCTTGTGTTTGCATTTATGTTTTATATATGTGTGTGCGTATGTTGACTAGCAAGGTTAGTCTACTATTTTGCGAAATTCTATTAATCGGAAATTTTTGAAGACAACTTAAGCATCTTTGTGTCAACATTTGACCAAAGTGTAGCTTTTTGGCTGGAGGTCCGAGCGTCACTACCCCCTCCTTTGGTTATGCCATTCACCAGTTGTTTTACAAGTAAAAGTGGCGCAAGTTGCATGCATTCCATGTTCGAGGTAGCAGTCTCCCGTCTTCTGCTTCCAGTGTGTATGCTCCGTCCCGGTGTGCCCCCACTATTTTGTAGGGTCCTTACCAGGTTACGCTTAGCTTCCCCGCTGGCTCCGAGTGGCTAGCCTTGTTCTTCCTCAAAACCTATTCTACTACCTTGAAGTTCTTTACCTGCACCCGTTTGTTGTAAATGTTTTATGTACGGGTTTTGTAGGCTGCTTGTCGCAGTCGAGCAGCTTGGCGTTTCTCGTCTATCATGTACAGGTCTTGTCGTCGCTCTGCCTCGTTCGAGCCTTCATCGAAACTGGTTACCCGCACTGATTCACTCAGACTCTCGAGGGGGAGCACCGCTTCCATTCCATATGTCAGGCTGAAGGGCGTCTCTCCCGTCCCTAACCTTGCGGTAGTACGATATGACCACAATACTTAGGCAGTTCTTCTGTACAGGCCCCTTTTGTTTTCATCAGGCGTTTCTTAAGCCCGTTCACAATGGTCCTGTTTGACACTTCGGTCTGGCCGTTTGCCTGGGGGTGTGGGACCGAGGTAAAACGATGATGGATTCGCTTTTCCTCGCACCATTCTTTGAAGGGGTTTCCCTTGAACGGGGTGCCTTTTATCGCTTATTAGGACCTTGGGGGTGCCCGAACCGAGTTAGGGTGTTTTTCCACATAAATGTGATCATCTGCCTTCCCATGGCCGTGGCTAGGGTTCTGCTTCGATCCACTTTGTGAAGTAGTCAACTGCGACCAATAGGAACTTCAATCTCCCTGAGGCCATCGGGAACGGTCTGATGATGTCGATGCCCCATTGGTGGAAGGCCCATGGGCTACTGATGCTGGTCATGGTTGTTGTTGGCTTGTTCTAGAACGGGGAGAATGCCTGGCATTCCGGGCATTTCCTTGTGACCCTCATCGCGTCTTTGTACACGTTGGGCTAATATACCCCTAAACGCAGTATCTTGCCCATGAGTTACCATGCCTCCTCATGTGTTCCAACTTCCCCCAAAAGGATTTCCTCTAGGAAGACTTGGCCTTCCTCGTGCGAGATGCATCTGAGCCATGGTCCTAGGTAGCCTCTCTTGTACAGTTGTATGCCTTTTATGACGAATTGGGGGGCTTTGATTTTATTTGCTTGGCCTCTTCCAGGTCATCAGGTAGGATCCCATGATGCAGATATTCTAGGTATGGCTTGGTCCAGTCTAGCGATTCTGCGATGGCATCAACTTGCTTGTTGTCAATTCTCCTTTCTCCAAGGACCTCTACCAGTACCTGGGTATTTTTTTTATTTCGAAGCTATTAAATGAATGCGCCAACAACTGTGTCTTTTCCAGGTATTTATGCATCCTTCGCTCTTTGGCTTCGTGGGTTCCATTGACCTGGTTGGTTATCACTTATCAGTAGTGAATCACTGAAAGCCCGGAGATGTTTCGCACCGACTTCCTATGCCAATTGGAGGCCTGCGAGAAGTGCTTCGTACTCAGCCTCGTTGTTCGAAACTTGAAAGTCGAATCTCAAAACGTATGTTATTTCGTCTCCCTTGGGGTTTTTGAGGATTAAGCCTGCGTCAGAGCCCTCCTTACTTGTTGCGTCATCGAGGTGTAGTTCCTTACTTGCTACTCCTTACTTGTTGCACCGTCGGTGTATAGTTCCCATATTTCTTTGCTTGCCTCGGGCTCTAGCAGGTCTTCTGGTAAGACCTTTGGTATTCCTCTAAGTGCATATGGTATTTCTACTAAGAAGTCTGCTAGTGCCTGCGCCCTGATACTGGTCTGCGGGAGATAATCTATGTCGTCCTCCCCTAGTTCTATTTCCTATTTTGCTAATCATCCTGACTTTTCGAGTCTTAGTAGGACCTGTGTTATTGGGAAGCTGGTCAGCACTTCGATTTTGTGTGCTTAGAAATAGCGTTGTAGGCGTCTGGCCATGTAAATTAGCGCCAACACCAGTTTTTCCAAGACTAGGTAATTGATTTCGGGGCCTTGCAATTCCCTACATACAAAATGTATTGGTAACTGCTTCTTGTTTCTTTCTACCGTTAGTACTGATGAAATGGCTTCATCGGCCATTGTGAGGTATATCTGTAAGGTTTCTCCCGGTAGGGGACTCGCCATTGTTGGTAGTTGGCGATGATGGGTTTTCAGCAAAACATACATTCCAATGTGTGCATGCAACCCTAAATTGATTGGATCTAAGTTTTCTATATTGAACATGCAAATAATGAACACAACACAAGAAACCCTAGGATCTATGTATTATAATTGAAATTCACATCATAGGAATCAAAATACATACCTTGATTGTTATATTGTAATAACAATCTAAAACCTTGTAGATCTTGAACTTTGAGAACTTAGTGTCACAGGTGTAACACCTCTAATGGATCACAATCACACTTAGCAAGAGGATGATTATGAGAGGAGGAGAGAGGAGACAATTTTCGGTTTTATTAGGGTTTAGGAACCTTAGCCTTGGCCGAAATCCACAAGGGATTATGCCCTTTATATAGTTGTTGGTTGCTTAGAGTCAAAGCTAGGGTTAAGATAAGGAAACCCTAATCCCTTTGCTTAAGGCCTAAGCAGCTCATGGATCCTCATCATTAAGGCCATGAACGAAATTTCTAGGGCCTCCCCTAGAGAATTTCGTCCATCCCTCCAAGGATGGTCCAAAAGCCAAATTCCACAACTATCAATAAATTGCAAAACAACCCCTTCACTTTTAATTAATTCCTTTAATCCCAAAATTAATTCCAAATTAATTTCTGATTATATATTAATTAATAATATGATTTCTAATTAATATATTATTTCCATAACATATTAATAAATCATTTATATCAATTTATTATTCCAAATAATAAATTCTTCCTCTTCCTCAATTAATCACCCTCTCAAGTTGCTAGTGTGAAGGCAACCCAAAAGGACCATGCCACTATCAATTCAAGTACATACCAATTATAGTTATGGGCTTAGACTCCTAATCAAACAGTCACCCACTTGGATATGTCTAATAACAATAGTTGTAAGTTTGACTTCAAAAATTGACAAGCAATCGTAGCTCTCAAAGTCGCTGTCGAACTCTGACCTAGTCAGTAACATGTCCTTAGATAAGTGATCAAATATTCCTCCGTTCTACAAGATATCGTATGGACATGAGACATGGATTATTATCATTCTCTCTGTCCAAGATTTGTTTCCTGATTTCCGATTTATGATGAATGATATCAGACTACTAATTGAACACATTAATTCAGTCCAGGCTTGGCCAAGCGCTTAAGATGTTATCATCAAATCATCAAGGGGCCCATAGATATCGCTTTTCCCGTTAGGGGAAAAGGAACAGATAAAATTTGACTTATGTTCTTGCACTATTCACTCATCAAATCACGCACAACAATATGTTTTATAACATCAGGTTACTGATGCGTTTACGTATTATTAATGCACAATTAATTTGTAAACAACAACTCATATATCTCCGTTTCAGTAATATAAGATATTATCGTCTCAGGTTACTGATGTGTTTACGTAAGATGTTATCATCAAATCATCAAGGGGCCCATAGATATCGCTTTTTCCGTTAGGGGAAAAGGAACAAATAAAATTTGACTTATGTTCTTGCACTATTCACTCATCAAATCACGCACAACAATATGTTTTATAACATCAGGTTACTGATGTGTTTACGTATTATCAATGCACAATTAATTTGTAAACAACAACTCATATATCTCCGTTTCAGTAATATAAGATATTATCGTCTCAGAATTACTCATGATAAAATCCATGAAGTAATTCTTTGAGCGTGGGTTAATCCAATACTCAAATCCCCATTTGAAAAGTACTCATGAATACTGTAGCAAACCATTGCTATGTCTAACCCTTTAGACAATCTACAGTCTGATTCATGACAATCTTAATTCGCTACTTACTTCCAAAAGTACGATCGACTTTGGATGTTTGAATAATCCAATTATTTGGCAAGTAAAACATGAGAAGTGAAACATAATAATAACCTAATTAACTATGGTCTCAAAACTATTAAGTATAAATAAAACACTTATTATTTAATCACCATATTAATTAGACTTTATTAATTGTATAATGTTTCAATTAATAAACTAAACACTTGAATTAAACATTAGTCATGCCATGTTCTAAACATGCATACTATGTCTCTCTACGGTCCTTCCTTTATGAATAGATCGATTGGACATTATTCCAATGATGCTCATTTCACAATTTCAAATTCTTCTTAGA